CCACTGTAGTTGCAGAGTCACTTATCAACAGCTGTTTAAAGGGTACCATCAAAATAATCAAACTGATATTACAATAAAAATAGTCCAAAGCAAATGTGTCATATTAAACATTCATCTGATCTGATATCTGATCTTATGGCTGTTTGAGAGAAAAAAACATTATTATTATTATTATTATTACTACTTATAAGTGGTCTTTGACCGCTTTAAGTAAAGAAGCATAAGAAAAATGGCAATATATGAGACTTATAATACATTAAAACTATGAGAAATATAATCCATTGTAAAAGTGGATGCAATGTGTTCATTGTGTTATAAATCATCATACTCTTAAAAGCTATAACCACAAATAATTAAATATTATAATATATTAAAACTGTTCTTATGAATATTCATGAGATGATACAACATATAAGTTTTTTTATAACGCATTATGCATTCATTATAATGCCTTAAGAATACCCTTATAATGTATTATAAATACGGGCTTCATAGAAATGTTACCAAAACCGCTGCTAAAGAGCGAATACATAAGGGATAATGCACGGCTAGCTGTACATTGAACGATTTTAATGTACAACGTGAAGGCAAGAACCACATGACGCAAAGCTACAGCTCGTTAGCTCAGCATTCTGCCCGCTTCAGATCAGAAAGAGATTAAATAGTGCAGTAAGATCACATTTATTTTAATTCATTAATTATAACATTTAGCTACTTGAATTAATTATTTGAGAGAGAGGTGACAGTTGCCTGTGTGAATTAGCCTACCTGCGTCTGTGCGTCTCTCCAGTAGGCTATTTAATCTATTTTATTAATAAAAGTCACGGGGCAGCATTCTCAAGAAGTTTGTGTCCTCCTGAATGTTTGTACACGTGCGCAGCGGGATCTCCGATCTCACAAACCAAAATAATAGACATGGTTTTCTCAGGCCACATGTAAAATAAAAAATTATTATAAAGATTATTAAAATGAATACGTATGGATGACAGTTGATTACAATAATATTTCAGTTTATTTCCATAATTAGTAACAGTTTCCCCTGTGGGACAAATAAAGTTAATAATAGGCTACTTCATTAACTTTATTTACTATCCCTGTTGTAGTATTATTCATATCAATGTAAAGAATGTATAAACTGAAAACATTAAATACTTTTGCGATCTATTTCCATTTGTTATTTTCAAAAGAGAAGTACTGTCATGGATGTTTACAGAGCAGAGGTCACCTTTTTTAATTCCTGGATGACCTCACGGTCTTGTTTGGACTTTTGTTTGTCTTTTGTTTATTATTATTTTGTGCTGTATTGTTGGTTACTGTGTTATTTCCGTTTCAAAAGCCAGCAATAAATAACACTTTAATATCTAAAAATTAATAAATGCATAATAATTGTAAAGCCGTGATTATTCCTCAGACAATAATCGTACCAACAAAATCTATAATCGTTGCATCGCTATCTCAGACTGCAGATCTGATCCGAGCACTACAGGAGCTTGAGAACGCAGCCTCCAGTGACGCAGCTCTCCGCCAGAGGATCTCTGCTCTACCCCCAGAGGTGCAGGACACCTCCCTTTTGCACAGAGTTACAGGTGAGAACACCAGAATGACAGAACTAAGTAAATGCAACAGAATTAATTAAAAATCAAATTTTGAATTGATATTTCATGGTGTCAGCACATTAGAGCACAGAATGTAATTGCTCAATTGGAACAGAACGCTGGGGTCCCCAGATTTTCTTTAACTTGACATACAGTGTTCAACAGCAAAGTGTGTCTGTCTGCATGTGTACATGAAAAAACTCATTTTTATTGCACAAATGACCACAGTTCTCACAGAAAAGCAACACCGCGCACTGGAGATTGGTACTTGATAAGCAGTGATTTAATTTATATAGGCTTAATTAACTTGCAGACTGAAACTCATCTGATATTAAAGTGTTAGTTCACCCAAAAATGAAAATTCTGTCATTAGTTACTCGCATGAAGGTGAGTAATTAGTGACAGAATTTAAATTTTTTGTGAACTAACCCTTTAACAGAGTGTTGCAGTGATGACACTTTTTTTCTTTTAGGCCAACCCAAAAGTTAGCATGACCCTGATTCCCTCAAGAAAAAAAAATGCTAACTTGTATCTGGGTTTTGACCTACAAAAATGCATGACTGGCATCAACTTAATAATTTGAATAGTCTTTGTGACTTTTTTGGAAAATACAATGTAGCCTACAGTTAAAGTGATTAAATTAGTCAAACATTTAAACCTAATCAACTTACTGAATGCGTAGGAGCTCTTCAAGGACGTGTTAACTGATTGTCTCTGCAAAAGGTCAGTTTTCTTGGGCTCTTTCAGAGTCAATCATCACAGTCTGGAGTTGCAAGCAGCCTGAAAGTTTGCACACGGTTCACAGTCACAAGGCTTCAGATAAATCCGCTTTTTCTGCGAGCTCCAAATATTAAGACTTATACCTCCTGCATATTGTACAAAGACGGGTTACAATTGTAATATTTGGATCCTGTAGCCTACTCTTTTGGTATAATCACATTTTAAATTTACAAATGAGAATTGTAACATTTACCACAGCAGCTTGGAGAAAGTTTTAGTTCAACAATAGTTTACTTCATTCATGTAAATGGTCGAGTTATTGTCCTCCACTATATGTCCAGATTGAATGATCCTAAAGGATGCTATTGTGGTTTGTATAAGAAAAACACATCAGAGTTGAATCAGAAACTGTTTGCACACGGTTCGCAGTCACAAGGCTTCAAATAACAGCGCTTTTGCACTGAGCCTCAGATATCAGCGCTTTACCTCCTGAAGATGATGCAGGCACTGTGACAGGAAGAGTTTAACGCATTTTTTATGATTTATTATCGTTATTTTAGCATTTCAGATAGGAATAACCCATATTTTAAACGTTTGATAAATAAGTGAAGTGAAGGAAAACTAAAACCATGGTCAAAAATGATCCAGAAAAGATCCGTTTTGCCTTGGACAACGGCGCAAAAATGTACACCATCACGTCGGAAAGGTAAATGGATTGTTTTATTTATTTCAGTGTTTTTAATGTTTTCTTCATTTTCTTTTCTTTCTTCTTTTTTTTACATTTATAAGTATTGCAAATTATTATTTTTTGATTTTGATGTTGAGTTTTTTTTTTTTTTTTTTTTACTGGAATTAGATTTTGAATGTTTTATAGGGGCACAGTGAAAATGTTTGTTTTCCTCCTTTCATTAATGTAACAGTAATGAGTGATATTACACAAAGTCATAAGGGTCTGAGTGGAGTGCAAAATTTGCACTGCGCCCCAATCCGGGTGAGAAACGAACACAGACACATTCGTGCGGGTCGTTCAGGGCTGCTGTGGTGCCTGAGTCGGTTCTTTTCAATGAATTGGCCGAATCGATTTGCGATTCGGTTCTATTCGTTCGGACCGCTGTTTTCTAACGGAATCATTTGTACAATATCGACATAGCCAGTGTTGGGGAGTAACTAGTTACATGTAACGGAGTTACGTAATTTAATTACAAAATAAATATAACTATAATCTGTTACAGTTAGCCTACTGATAAAAAACGTGTAATTAAATTACAGTTAGGCTACTGATGAAAATGTTTACGATTACAAAAGGGGTTACGTCTGAATATTTTCACACACACACACACACACACACACACACACATATGTTGTGTTTCCATGTTTTATGGGGACATTCCATAGGCGTAATGGTTTTTATACTGTACAAACTGTATGTGCTATTGCCCTACACCAACCCTACCCCTAAACCTACCCCTTACAGGAAACTTTGTGCATTTTTACTTTCTCAAAAAAACAAATTCTGTATGATTTATAAGCTTGTTTCCTCATGGGGACCTCAAAAATGTCCCCACAAGGTCAAAATTTACTAGTATTGCTATCCTTGTGGGGATATTTGGTCCCCACAACGTGATAAATACCAGGTACACACACACACACACACACACACACACACACACACACACACACACAGATTTAATTGATTTCTTTCCAAAAATGCTTTGACAGCTCTAAATGAGACATCGATGTTTCAGGAGTTTAAGACACAGAATAGGACACATGCTTATTTGATAACTGTTTTATTTACTATTTGGGTTGAGGTAGCCTATATGCTTTTTTTTTTTTTTAAGATTAACTTTTTTTCCAAGGCATTGTTAGATGCCAGTGTTTCCTGGCATATTTCATATGCAAAGATTTCAAAAACAGCATCATAGCTATTAAACTATATCTGATGATTTTAAATCTGTATTTAACCTCAGAACGATCTCAAAGTAAAAAAGAGGTGCTAAAGTCTGATTTTGGTGGCTGTGCTATACAATTACATTTTTTATCATCTTAATTCAAGTGAATTTTTGAGGATTTTGAAAGTCTGACAGTGGCTGTGCTATAAAATTATTTTTTTTTTAGAATCTTAATTCATGTGGATTTTTGAGGATTTTGAAAGTCTGAAAGTAATCAGCGTTTAGTACGACTGTAAGGTTAACCCTGCCTGGTTTAAATGTTTGAAAATGATTAACAGCTGAAAACATTCATTAGAAATTTAGAAAAGGAATAAAAAATGATCAAATTTAATTAGTTACATTACTTTAATAAAGTAATTGAAATAGTTACACTACTTATTATATGTTAAATATAGGGTATCTTGTAATCTGTAACCTACATTTCCAAAGTAACCTTCTTAACACTGGACATAGCCTATTTAAGAACACAGAGAACAAACAGAGATGAAGTATATTTCACCTATAACTACTTAACTGAAATAAAAGACTACTTTTTGAGAGATAACTTTAGCTCTTTGTTATGCATTCTTTAAGTTATTTACATATTTTTTTATTTATATATTTAAATCATTGCAGGCTGCAGGGGAATTGTCATACATGCAAATATTTTTACATTAATCAACTGTTTGTCATTCAAAACTAATCCATAAGAGATCTTTATTTTCTTAAAGGGGTCATATGATGTTGCTAAAAAGAACATTAGTTTGTGTATTTGGTGTGATGAAATGTGTTTATGCGGTTTAAGGTTAAAAAAACACATTCTTTTCCACATATTGTACATTATTGTTTCTCCTCTATGCCCCGCCTTTCTGAAATGCGTTGATTTTTACAAGCTCATCGGTCTGAAAAGCGAGGTGTGCTCTGATTGGCCAGCTATCCAGTGCATTGTGATTGGCTGAATACCTCAAGCGTGTGATGGAAATGTTACGCCCCTACCATACTGTGATGCTGTGTCCTGGTGCGACGAAACAAAACCAGTAAAACCCATTATAAACGAAGCATTTGTTGCATCCAGTGGGGAAATAATTACGGATTATAATGACTTATACTGTCTTTTTACGCGTTGCGTTGCATCGCGCCGCGTAAACGTAAAACCATGTCTGCATTTGTGATCGGAGAAATGACAAACAACAAGCACTACTCTACACTGCTCAAAACTCGCGTTTGAATCATCAGTTGTAAATTCTTTAAATATGAAAACGTACTTACAGTCTGTGAGTCAGAACAGCCGGCATTGTAGTCTACTCTACCAGGATCAGGAAACAGTCCTCCATAAAATGTGCTGCACACATCTGAATATTTGGGTTGAACTGTTCTGGAACAGTGTTGTAAATACAACTTAACCTCTGATTTCTAGTTGTGTCCTCTTTTGGAAGGCCAAACAAAGTAGTTTTGCTTTCCCAACGAAACACACAGCATCACACACGACGGGTTAGAGTGAGGAACGGCCAGCGGGTTTGAGAACGGCGCGGCCGGTGGATTCGATGAAGGAGCGTCCGGCGGGCTTGCGGCAACCACATGAGACGACCCCGGGCTGGACTCCGCTTCATCCACGGTGAAAGCCAATCCGGTGATCCACAGCACAAAGTTGATGTATTTCCTCAGCGACCAGCACGGATCAGCTCTAGGCATGATAAAGCGGATATCGTCCTCTTTTGGAAGGCCAAACAAAGTAGTTTCGCTTTCACAATGAAACACAGCGTCTCCACAACATGGCCGCGGTGCGGTGGCAACAGCGAGAATAAAAGTTATGCCTTCTTTCTCTGCGTGATCATTTGGGCGGCGTTATGCAAATCTTTCCACATCGTGACGTAGACATGTAGGCGTGTTAGAACGAGCCGTTTTCTCTTTGGATTTGACACTTTAGTCTTTGCAACTTTACAGATTTTCTTTATGCACCAAGAGCTTGTAACACTCCAAAGAGAAAGGAAAAATTGAAATCGCATCATATGACCCCTTTAAGTTTATGACTGTTTCTTCTACTGTTCCAGTATGTCCTCAGGTGAGATGAAGGATAGTAAGCACTGTCACGATAACAGCCGTGCCCTGGAGGACCGAGAGCGTGAAAAAAAGCTTGCCAAGAAACGCCTATACATTGTTTCAGTAGTGTGTCTGGTCTTCATGGTGGGCGAGATCTTAGGTGTGTAACCCATACTGCTGATTGGCTGCAAATTGGCTGCCATACTTGTTTTTGCACACTCAAAGGATTGCTGGTAAATATGCGCTGCTGTCTGGTCTGTGTACAGGTGGGTATTTTGCTGGGAGTCTGGCAGTGATGACAGATGCCGCACACCTGCTCGTGGACCTCACCAGCTTCATCATCAGTTTGTGCTCGTTGTGGCTGTCGTCCAGACCTGCTACACGCACTCTCAATTATGGCTGGCATCGAGCAGGTGAATGGACTTGTAGAACAGTAAATTGTTGTCATGTGGCTCAAAACTCCTGGATGGATTTTTAAATAGTACTATTTTTAAAACAGTACACTATATGTACAAAAAAAATTAAAAAAAATAAAAAAGTAAATACACTACCATTCAAAAGTTTGGGATTAGTAATTTATTTAAGACATTAAATTGATCAAAAGTGACAGTAAAGACATTTCATATGTTAAAAATATTTCTGTTTCAAATAAATTGCTCTTTTGAACTTTTTTCATTAAAGAATCCTGACCAAATAATTTTTCCACAATAAATATTATGCATGACAACCATTTTTAATATTGCCAGTAATATGAAATGCTACTTAAGCACCAAAACAGCATAGAATAATTCCTGAAGGATCTTGTGACACTGAAGATTGGAGTAATGGCTGCTGAAAATTCAGTTTTGCCATCACAAGAATACATTACTTTTTAATATGACAGTTCAAAATAGTTATTTTAAATTGTAATGATATTACACCATTTTTTTCTGTAATTTTTATCAAATAAATGCAGCCTTGGTGAGCATAAGAGACCTCTTTCAAACGTGTTTAAAAATCTTACCCCAAATATTTGAACAGTAGTGTATTCATAGTACTTCTTCTATATTCTTGATGTATGCTAATGAACTATATGAAGTACAGTAGTAATTTCATCTACTTAAATACTACTGGGTATTTTCAGAAATCTTGGGTGCTCTGCTATCTGTCTTCACCATTTGGCTGGTGACTGGTGTGCTGGTGTATCTGGCAGTGGAACGGATCATTCATGATGACTTCACTATTGAGGGCACAGTCATGCTCATTACTTCTGGCTGTGCTGTACTGGCCAACATTATGTAAGGCAAAAACCTCACTGAGCAATGCAGTTTTATTTCAGAATATATCTGCACACTATTAATAGCCCTAATCTAATAACTAACTAATCTATGGCATTTTAACAAAACTGTTATTTTCTGTCTGTCCTTCTCTGTGCAGAATGGCCTTCACTCTGCATCAGTCAGGTCATGGCCATAGTCACGGTGGTCTGAGCGGTGGCCACGGCCACAGTCACGACCATAGGAAGAAAAACGGCCACAGCAATTCTAACGCTAATCATTATGACGTTGAGAAGCATGGGTCTGGTAAAAGACAACAAGCTAATGCTAGCGTCAGGGCAGCATTTGTCCATGTTATTGGAGACCTTCTACAGAGTGTCAGTGTGCTTGTCAGTGCCCTCGTCATCTTTTTTAAGGTAAGAGATTATTAGCCGTTTAAATTCTTAGGTCTGATGAGTCCTAACTGATGAACCAGCAGTATTTAATGTAAAAGTAACATTGACTTAACCAGTAGCTGTTTGTTATGAGGGAATACTGGTGTTGTCTGAATGCATTTTAATGTAATAGTGTGGCAGATAATGATAAGCATAGATCCACTTTTGATGGCATAATACTAATGAAAAACTGATTTATTTTCTTTTTATAGCCCGAATATAAAATTGCAGATCCAATCTGCACCTTCCTGTTTTCTCTATTTGTCCTGGGAACCACTATCACCATCATGAGGGACATTATTATTGTCTTAATGGAAGGTACAAATGTCTTGTGTTTTTTGCTGTTTCAGTTATGCTTCAGGAATCATAGAGCTGTAATTTAGGTAAAGAGTGGTGACTTTAAAAAAGCTTACAAATATGTGTACATCACAAGTTTACAGAAAAAGTATATCTATTTTAGTTCTTCCAATGAAAATAGTCCCATAAGAAGCTAAAAGAGAATCTGCTATGTCTGTGAATCTGCAATAGTGGTGTTCTGTTCCTGAATGAATCAGTGTTTTTGAGAGAATCAATTACGTGAATGATTGAATCACTCATAATGATGTCACTGATTTTGTTCCTGGTTGAGTGAATGATTCAGTGACTCACATATTATGACCGTCACTGGTTTTGTTTTTGAACGAATCATTTGAACAAATGGTTGATTAATCAATCGTCTCTTCTCACCACCTCCAGGTGATGTATGATTTAACCTTTAAGAAAGAGCCATCTTCATTGCTAATAGGAACATGCAAACACGGACAAACTGAGCGATTAAAACAGTGCAACGTCATCAATCAAATTCTAGGACCTGAATTAACTGCTGTAAAAGATAGTTTTGATTAGTTTAATTTCTAAATTTCTGGTCACCACAAAATTGTCATACTTCCATCGTGCAATTTCAGTTTTGATGAGTTAACTATTATTCTTAATTTAGAATGTAGAAATAATGATGAATAAGTAGATCTGTCAAAACTTGTGACTGGCAAATTAATTGAAGGCAAATCTTAAATATACTGTAAGTATCTATAAATAAATACAAGCTGTTTAATTGGCCACTAGGCATTCTATGGAATGTTGTTTCCTTTTTCATCTTATCCTCATTAAAACATTTCTTGGAACATGAAGATTTTAATAAGGAACTCCTCAGCCTCAGTGTTTCTCCTCCACAGGTACGCCGGCTGGTGTGAACTATAATGAGGTGAGGGAACAACTGCTCAAAGTAAAGGGTGTCAAAGCTGTGCACAACCTTCACATCTGGGCCTTGACAATGAACCAGGCTGTGCTCTCTGCTCATGTGGCTATAGGTAACACTTTAACTCCATATGGAATCTTTTGGCATTTATTTGCATAACCTAAAGCAAAATATCTGAAATACTCACCCTAGCCATGAGTTTATAACCGTCTGTTCATTTTTAACTCTTTAGATGATACCGTAGAGCCACAGGCGGTGTTGAGAGAAATGACCCAGACCTGTTTCACCTCGTACAGTTTCCATTCAGTAACCATTCAACTGGAGCATCAGGCGGACCAAAGGGCTGACTGTAGCCTCTGTCAAGACCCCACAAAGTGAAACACCCAGAGACTCAAAATCAGGTCTTTTTGGATTTCAGACACCTCTGTTCTTGTGTGTTTTTTCACTAATTTGGATTTAAAGGGATGGTCACCCAAAAATGAAAATTCTGCCATTATTTTCTCACCTGTATGATTGCTCTTATTTTTTTAAATTTACTCATGAAAGTTGTTCGGACCAATTGTTCTTCTTTTGTGTTCTGTAAAAGAAAGTAAGTCATACAGGTTTGGAACGGCATGAAGGTGAGTTTAAATACCTGAATTTTTCATTTTGGGTGGGTGAACTATCCCTTTAAGCAGAATTTGTTGTGAATAGATCTGTCAGGAAAATAACTTGTTTAAATGTGCCAAATCTAATTCACTGAGCCAGGTAAGAAGGTACTTTAGCAATGAAAATAAATTTGAATAGTAATGCAATAACATTATTTGTTCAGTCGATTTACTTTTTTTCATTCATATGTTTATTTTTTGTCATCAGCAAACAGGACTACTGTGCTGGTGTAATGTACTGTACTCTTTGAACCGTCCCTTATTTAAAAGGATAATTATAATTATTTTATGCATTTAGCAGACGCTTTTATCCAAAGCGACTTACAGTGCATTCAGGCTATACGTTTTTTTACCAGTATGTGTATTCCCTGAATTGAACCCACGACCTTTTGTGCTGCTAACGCAATGCTCTACCACTGAGCCCCAGGAACACAATTAATAATTATAATAATAACTACCACAGATCAAAAGTACGTTCATCTTATTGTTGATCTTAGGTTTGTTTGTTTGTTTCTTTTCATTATTTTTCGTTCTTATTTCTGTAATGCTGAGAGATCTTTTCATTTCTTTTATTACTACAGGACTGATCAGTAATTTTGTCCCATTTCCAATGTTATGTTTTACACTCCTGGAGCAAAGACTGAATATTCATATTATGGTAACACTTTACAATAAGATTCCATTAGTTACAAGAGTTACTAACAATAAGCAGTGCAGTTACAGTGTTCATTCATATTTGTTATAGCTAAAAATGTATATTTGTTATTTGTTAAAAAACACAACTGATCATTGTAAGCTCATGTTAGCTTGGGTCTATTAAGTAGTAGGTTATTAACGGATAATACATTTTAATAATGTATTAGGAAATGTTGAAATTAACATTAAATGATTTTTATTGTTTATGTTAATGTAGTTATCTAAAAGGGAATTTATTGGAAAGTGTTACCCATATTCCTATATTCAGTAAAAAATGTGAATATTAAAATTGAAAAGTATGTTTGTATTTGTTGGTAGCGTACAGTTTGGTGTATTTGCCTTACAGAAGCATCTTTGGTATGTTTTTATCACTCATAATTAAACTGATGAATGTACAACGTGTCCACTGTCAAAAAACGTTTGTGTTTTGTGTCGCTTACCTGGTGATCTTCGTTTATACTCTTAAATTGATGGATGAGATATTTCATGTTTAAGGATCTTCCAAACAAACTCTCTTATTCTTCCGTCAGATACTTTTACATATTATAAACAGAGAATTTAAATCAAATCTAGAACAGGTTTCTACACAAATGTTGTTTTCCATCTCTTAATTCACTTGTTGGATGTATTATTCAAAGGAATGCCCAGCAAAAGAACAAGCAGCTTAATTTGCGCCATTGCTATCTCTCGCTCTCTTGTTTTCATTCTCTTTTAAGTGAAATAGGCTACTGTATCTCATTGTACCTCCTGCTCATCCATGGTCTAATCCTCTTATAGTCCACTGGATGAGGATAGAAAATCAAGCCAAGCTAATAATCAAAATATACAGAGAAAAGCCCTTTTGAAGTGGGAATAAGAAGAGTAATCAGCAAACTGTTGTGTGTAAGTGCATATTCTCTAGTGAGAGGAACAAGATCACTCCGGTTTACAATGAAAGACCTATGTCTCTGAAAGCCACACAGACCCCAAATTACCTTAAATTATATGGAATCATCTTCTTTGATATTGAAAAAGGATATGTAGGATTATTAGGCATATAAATAGACACAAGCAAAAGAGCACGTCTACAAAACAGACTTGAACTCAAGTGAAATCATTGTTATTGATCACAGGGAGTCTGAAGTTCTCATTGATTCGTTTTCAGTTGTTGTTTAAAACCCACACAAATTGATTCAGTATGAAGATCTATCTTTGTTTTTCTGTCATGAACCAATGATTTGAGATCATTATACAACTTTAATCTTTTAATTTCCAATGATGCATTGACAGTTTCTTCAGATGTAAACAGACGCATACAGTTTCACAGTTTTATTTAATCCAAATCATATTACAGGACTGTAGGTAGCAGATGACCATTTTTAAGAAGCACTAGGATTTTTAAATGTGGCATACATAATAAAATAAAACATAAAAAGTACAAAACTATATGTAAAATATTAGTGAACGCTTGATGGCGCACTGCACCTTCAGCTAAAAAGCGTACTCGCATTTCCACTATACATTTAGTAACAATATATCCCATATTAGCCTGTACAATATAGATATTTGTATTGAAAACAAAATTCAAGTACAATATTTGTTTAAACAAACATACTGTTTCCATCAAAAATTGTTCTTTGCTAAGCACTGAGCCACACACTTTACATATGTGAGACGCGGTGACTTCTCGTGAAATCTCGCGAGGGCTGACTCAGACGAGAACACAGCACGGAAAACATGACGTCTTGTCAACAGCACTAACAAGGTATTTAAACGCTGTTAATGTTTGCATATATTTAGACGAAAAACATTTTCTGTGTTTCTGTTACATATATGTTATGGCTGATAGTTGCTGTTTGTCCAGTTTCGTTAGACATTCAAGCTTTGATAATAGTAGCTCAATGTAGAGCTAAATAAAAGATTTTGTTGTATCTAAATGTTTATTCTGTTACGACTATATTATTATGTGTTTTCACTTGCTTTTGTATGTTATTGTTTTTTATGTATTGTTTATAATTTGACTATATAATGCTAAAATGTGATGTTTGGTTTGTTATGTTTATATGTTTTAGGTGTATGGTTCAGTTTACATGCCAATACTCTCTCTCTCTCTCTCTCTCGCTCTTATACAGTCTTGAACATATATTGTTAACAGACATGCCATAGGGTCACACCAAATAGTCACCCAGCCATCAGTGCCCACATCCCACCATCCCCATGACAACCCCTCCTCTGGCCCAGTTCCCTGGGCAACAGGCTCAGGCAGCTCGGGATGTGAACACAGCCTCGCTCTGTCGGATCGGACAGGAGACGGTGCAGGACATCGTCTTACGAACCATGGAGATCTTTCAGCTGCTGAGAAACATGCAGGTAAGTTCATCCCCTCAAAAGCATCCATCCACGGATGAAAACTTACTCTGCTGACTCTTTCTCCTTGTCTTCTCACTCAGCTGCCGAATGGAGTCACCTATCATCCTAACACTCATCAGGACCGGTTGGGGAAACTGCAGGAGCACTTGCGGATGCTCTCCGTTCTTTTCCGCAAGCTCCGTCTCGTCTATGACAAATGCAATGAAAATTGTGCTGGCCTGGACCCCATCCCTCCTGAGGTGAGATTATGCTTTCTCTATCACAGTCCAGTCTAGTTGAAATGAAACAGACTTACATTTAACTTTTTTCATGATATTAAGTAATTCGGTTCTGAATATGGAACCTATCTTTTTAATTTTTAACAACTAAAAATCAAGATATTTACTTTACTCAAGCTGGTGTGTTGAGTTGTATAAGCCAGTCATTCATGCAGTCTCTTTTCTTTTATCAAAGAGAGCAGTGAAATAAAGTCATTTAGATCTACAGTTATTTTATTTATTATGTTTATATTTATGTATATATTTCTTTGTTTCCTTTGAAGAACCAGGTAGTACCAATATATCCCATGTAAGCTCACAGAATGCAGTTATTTATATTGAAAACAAAATTCAAGTACAATATTTGTTTAAACGAGCCTACTGTTTCTATCTAAAAACTTTCTTTGCTAAGCACTGAGCCACACACTTTGCATATGTGGTACACGGGGACTTCTCGTGAAATCTCACAAATCTCGCAAAATCTCGCACCCCCTTGATAACTTTTTTTTCTTTGAAGAACCAGGTTTACCATTGTCTTGAAAAACCTGGATATATGTCGTGGCTTCATTTTAAAAGTCATTCCTAGACCCGGTCATGTAAATAAAATCATAAAACTACATGAGCATTAAATATACGTTTTTTTTTGTTAAAAATAATGTTTATTAAGTAGAAAATGTGTGTAAAAATATTTCAAAAAATTATTGTCTTTATTTCTGGAACTGGAAACGGTTTGAATAAAAAAGGTTGATAAACACTGGCATATATAGAATAATTCAGCTTTTTCTAGGCCACTGACATGATTGAAGCGTCTCGTATGTGTGTGCATCTTTTTAAACAAATTTCTCAAAAGTATTAGCCTAATTATATTACAAGGGGTTGATAACTTAAGTGTAGTTTGAGTGAATATTTAAGAGTGTGTTTATTTGATGTCGTACTTGAGGGAATTCTGTCCATCCATAACATATACTCGCCTGCGAATGTTTTAATTACTGCACCTTGTGAGTGCTAGCTTTCAATTTCCAGCAGAGGAAAGATCCTTGAATCACATTGTCAACTTGGCTTCCTATTAGCATTGAAGTGATCTACTGATTGAGTCCAACTGAGATTCCCACTGACTCAGTTTGGTCACCCTAAGAGCTCATTGACGTAATGTCTGGACTTGTAAAGTACAAGCTCTACAAGAGCTTGAATGTTTTTCAGATCTTCTGAAGCACTGCTGTTATGACTTCTGGAATAAAATATAATGTTCAAATCGAGAAGAAAGGATATACAGTGGTGTGTCAAAGTGTTGGCCCCCTTCCTGATTTCTTATTTTTTTGCATGTTTGTCACACTTTAATGTTTCAGATCATCAAACAAGTAAACACAACGTGCAGTTTTTAAATGAAGGTTTTTATTATTAAGGGAAAACAAAATCCAAAACTACATGGCCCTGTGTGAAGAAGTCTTTGCCCCCCTGTTAAAACTGTGGTTTATCACACCTGAGTTCAATTTCTCTAGCCACACCCAGGCCTGATTACTGCCACACCTGTTCGCAATCAAGAAATCTCTTAAATAGGACGTGCCTGACAAAGTGAAGTAGACCGAAAGACCCTCAAAAGCTAGACATCATGCCGAGCCAAAGAAATTCAGAAACAAATGAGAAAGAAAGTAATTGAGATCTATCGGTCTGGAAAAGGTTATAAAGCCATTTCTAAAGCTTTGGGACTCCAGCGAACCACAGTGAGAGCCATTATTCATAAATGGCAAAAACATGGAGACCTGAATCCTATTGAGATGCTGTGGCATGACCTTAAAAAGGTGGTTCATGTTCGAAAACCCTCCAATGTGGCTGAATTACAACAACTCTGCATAGATGAGTGGACCAAAATTCCTCCACAGCACTGTAACAGACTCATTGCAAGTTATCGCAAACGCCTGATTGCAGTTGTTGCTGCTAAGGGTGGCCCAACCAGTTATTAGGTTTAGGGGGCAAACACTTTTCACACAGGGCCATGTAGTTTTGGATTTTGTTTTCCCTTAATAATAAAAACCTTCATTTAAAAACTGCATGTTGTGTTCACTTGTGTTATCTTTTACTAATATTGAAGTTTGTTTGATGATCTGAAACATTAAAGCGTGACAAACATGCAAAAAAATAAGAAATCAGGAAGGGGGCCAACACTTTTTCACACCACTGTATATGCTCTAATTTTGCCTTAAGTCATGAGTCACAGGTACATATGAAACATGAAGTGTTGCTGTGATTTAGACATAATTTGGCCCTCAGGAATTAAGACTCAAATGTGTATGAGAGCAAATTAAGCCCTTTAGAGTTGGATCAAATGCACAGCTGGTCTGTTGAGTCATTTAAGCATCATTCGTGCAATCTTTTTTCTTTTATTGAAAAGAGCGGTGGAATAAAGTCATTAGATCTGCAGTTGCTTTAACTGGAGGGTATGAACAGCAGCCTTGAGAGTTGGAAATTCAGGTTCTTTCGTTTCATTAAGAGTATATCTCATTGGATATTTAGTATGGCTCAGCCTCGTCTTTTTGGATTTCAGGTGTTCTCTATAGCTCCTGTTGCGCTTTCTCTCCAAACAGGAAGTGCTATAATGGAGCCAGTGGCATTACCTCATCACCTTGCTAATTAGCTGTGGCGCTCTGTAATGAACAGCTGGCGAAGTCCCTCATGTCAGCATTTTCCAACCCAGGCAATCACCGGCTCCCAACGGTGGAATTTCCTGCACAACGCAAACGAAATAGCCATGTCATTTCATTTACCACCTCACTTTTTCCATCCACTTCAATGTAATCAACCCGAGTGAACCTCACTGAATTATTGTTTTCAGGCAGCTGGCAGAGCACATCCATCTTTTAGTGTCTGGACCTTGAGTAATGTGTTGTCCGCGTTATATTAACTAGCTGGCTCTTTCTTGCTCCACTTGTTGCCGACAGGTGGGTACTTCCTTTGAAACTCAATGTGAGTTTGGTTCAGAAATTGTATTGGTTCTTGTTCTTTTCTAAAAATTATTCGGACCTAAAGTGTGCAAAGCTAATTAAATCAGTCCTCGAGCTACGGCTTGTGTCTTTTCTCTTTCTGCTGGGCCGGTCACCCTCCTGTGGTTTGATGCATTCACTTCCTTGACGAACCTGCCAGGGGCTTTTCTCTCTCCCTCCTTTGCATTTCATATGATCAGATTTTTCCTTCTTGCTTTTCTGCTGGCATGTGACAGCCTAAAGCTTGTAAGGTCTGTTCTGTAAACCGCAGACCCATGAAATATGAGTGATTCAGAATGTGGGATTTGATTTTCCTGTTGCTGCTGAAATTATAGATTATTTAAGCTGTTCATTGGTTACCTTTGCACTGCTGTTTTTGTGTTAAAGTTTGACGTAAAGAAATAAAAAGGGAAAAGGACAGACTTACACTACTGTTCAAAAGTTTGGGATCAGTTACATATTTTTTAAAGAAATTAATACTTCTCAGCAAAGAGGTGTTAAATTGGTCAAGTGACAGTAAAGTGACAGTTTTATATTGTTAAAAATGATTTTTTTTAAAGGATTTTCTTTTTATTATTATTATTTTTTTTAAGAATTTTGAGGAAAAAATGTATCAGGCTTTCCATAAAAATATTATGCTGCATTAATAATAATAATAATAATAATTAATAATTATTATATATAATAATAATAATCATAATAATAATCTTGAGCACCAAATCAGTAATGGAGTAATGGCTGCTGAAAATTCAGCTTTGCCATCATAGGAATAAAATACATTTTAAAATATGTTTGAAGGATCTAAGGATTTTTTGTAGCAACCTGTATGTGTTGCTTCAAGAGAGCAACCATACATTTGTGTATGAAATAATAATAATTTTATATCATAATAATATTTCACAGTATTACAGCTTTACTGTATTTTTTATCAAATAAATGCAGCCTTGGTAAGCATAAGAGACTTTCAAAAACATTGAAAAATCTTACAGACCCCAAACTTATTGGTAGTGTAGATCTTTAGATTTATAAAATATATTAACTTGTAATGGGGTTGTTGATGCATTACATGTTTTGAAATGTATATTAATAAGGGAATTTGTATATTTTAGGTAATATAACTACATTTTACATTTTAACTTTGACCATTTAACCGCCACTAATTCTGTTTAAATGGTCTTAAAAGTCCAAATGTTCCTCAGTATATTCCTCATAAGCCTCATAATATGAGCTGCATGCATAATAAATGAATTGGTGAAAAGCTATAAAATAGTTTGAAAGAAGATTTTTTCTTCACTTGCATGCACTGATTGCTCATCCAGAACACCAGCAGGTGTCACTGTGATGTTAAAGCGAGGAGATCATGATCTGGTGCCAGCAGAGCTGTGAGACCGCTGTCTGTTTAGCAAGGTCACAGAATGATAGAACCTCACGAAAAGAATGAGACACTTTAACAGAAAGCACATGTGGATAGAACTTAAAGCATTGTTCTGCTGTAAATTGAGGGAAACCAAAGGTGAATGAGATTTATTTGAGTGTGGATCTGATGGTCTGCTTTTACTGTAACCCTGTCCAAGACTGTTGAGAGGGCTCAAACAATTTGTGAAGTTGAATTTGAAAGCCAAAGGGCAGTGCCTGCTGAGTGATTTATTTAGGCAAAATAACAGATGGCTGTTATGTTACAAAATTTAAAACCTAAGATCTGATTTCTCTGTTTAAGGCTTTTGAATTATGCAGTAATCCATTACTGGGGCTTCACCAGGTTGTTTAACTTTACAATCTCATATCTTAAGCTCTTGTGTTGTTTAGACAATAGATCACCACAATAAATATTTGCATGAAATTGTATTCAAACCATGTTTTTTGTGCTCGGATACTTTTTGTGATTATTTTTTCAGGCTTTCACATATAGCTTTGGATAATGGCCCAGCTTAACCCTAGTTCAGGGCGCTTGTTTTTAAACTGCCTAGAGATAAACCAACTATAAAAATGGATGTTTCTGTTCACAAATACCACCATATCTTTTTCATTCATTTTTAATCCAAGATGTCAGGAAGGCATCAGATTACTTGTGGCAAGTAAATAATCAAATAAATACCTGAGTCTTGTGTAGTGACCCTGATTTATACAGGTGAAATTTGAAAGGTACCTCATTCATCTACAGTTGAGCATTAAAAATAAATAAATCATTGCTGTACCTTTGTGGCCATGACTTGTGGTAGCTCAGTGATTGAATATCTATGTTTGTAATCTGAAGGTTTGCAAGTTTAAACCTCACAAGCAGGGCAATTCATGTACTGTCATCGTTGTGCCCTTGAGCAGGGCACTTACCTTGAGGTTTTTCCAGTGAGACTGGCCTTGTAATAATAGGATTGCAAGACTCTTTGGATAGAAAAAGTGATAAAAAAATCATTAACTGATTCAAAATTTGTTAGAAGATGATCAGGAATTGTATTTTTCTTTCTTTAATTTTTTTTTTAATGCAGTTTTGTGTATTTTTATGTTCCCTACGGTTAAATGAGTGGAATTTTTGACTTAAATGCACTCACCGGCCACTTTATGATTATTAGGTACACCTTGCTAGTACCAGGTTGGACCCATTTTTGCCTTCAAAACTTTCATCAGACCAGGCAAGCTTTTATCCAATCTTTTTCTGTTGTCCAATTTTGGTGAGCCTCAGTTTCCTGTTCTTAGCTGACAGGAGTGGCACCCAGTGTGGTCTTCTGCCACTTTAGCCCATCTGCTTCAAGGTTCGACGTGCATTCAGAGATGCTCTTCTGTAAACCTTGGGTGTAATGAGTGGTTCGAACCAGTCTGGCCATTCTCCACTCCTCTAAGTTGCTGGCATGCGATTGGCTGATTAGATATTTGTGTTAACGAGCAGTTGAACAGGTGTACCTAATAACGTGGACGGTGAGTGTATATCACTGTGTTACAGTGAATAGCTAGCTATACATGTGAATTTTGCAGAATTTCATATCTGCTCACCAAACTTACATACTCTCAGAACAGACGTTTGGGGAGGAGTGTGAAAAAGAAACAGAAGCCATTCTCCTTATTAGAAATCTGTGTACCATCAGAAACTGTATTTCAAGGTTAAAAAAACCCCCCTGCAGTTGCTTTAAATGTGTCGTAGGAGATTATAACTTATGCGTCTGAATCAAACTATTCCATCTCCTCAGTCACTGCTTTTCTTATTGGATAAGTTCCCTGACTCTTTTTTTGTTGTTGTTCACAGAATAGGGTTAGGGTTTTGGCTGGATAGCCTGCTGGTAGATGCCCGTAACTACACCATCTAGACCAAAAAGCATCTTTCACTATTTACTGCTTTTTTAAAATATCTGTGCATTTAATGACAATTAACAAACATAATTTAGTAGATGTTTAACCAGAGCCTGATTGTTTTTTGAAGTGTGAAATAGACTTTGTATTTTCCCTGGCTGCTGCTTTTGACGTCACACCGCAGGATAGTTGCTAGTGAAGGGATTGGAACTGAGCGTGTTCCTGTGGTGCCATCAGTGGCAAACACAAAAATGAGTGCATAGCAGTGAAGTAATCAAAAAGTCACTATGTGGTAATTTTATTCTGTCTTTCTTTTTCAGCAGCTTATCCCATATGTAGAGGATGAGAGTTCTAAACTGGATGACCGAATGGCCAATCAAATGCGTGCAACCAGCGATGAGAGAAGAGAAGTACTGGAAGTAAATAAGGTTAGAACCTTATTTTTTGGACATTTTATATTTGACAGATGCTTTTATCCAAAGCAACGTAACGTTGTGTTTAAGGTATACATTTATGAGGGCATGCATTCTCTGTGAATCAGACCCCATTGACACAGGAACACTCCTACATCAAATGTTAAAATAATTGGCAGTATATATACACATATAACAACAAATGCACATTAATACTTGTATTCAGCAAGGATGCATCAAGTTGATCAAAAGTGACAGTAAAGACTTTTACATTATTACAAAACATTCTTTCAAATAAATGTTGTTCTGTTGAACTTTCTTTTCATCGAAGAATCCTGAAAAAACATATGACAGTTTCCACAAAAATTTTAAGTAGTGCAACTGTTTCCAGCATTGATAATAATAACAATTATTGAATAATAAAATTATTGAAAACCAAATCAGCATATTAGAATGATTTCTGAAGTATCTTGTGACTTTAAAGCCTGGAGTAATGGCTGAATCCTGAAAATTCAGCTTTGCCATCACAGGAATAAATTATATTTAAAAATATATTCAAATAGGAAACAGTTATATAATATTATTATAACATTTCACAATGTCACTGTTTTTACTGTCTTTTTGATTAAATAAATGCAAATAAATGCATCCTGAGAGATTTCTTTCAAAAACATTACAAAAATTGTACCGACCCTAAACTGTAGTGCACTGCACAGTATATAAACTCAAAACAGGCCACTTCACTGCCTGTAGAGATCTGTTTACAGTGTCAAGCAATGAGATGTCTGCCATATTCACTTGCATAGTGAAGCCATAGTAAAAAAAAACAGCTGATGACTCTCTACCAAGAATTTCATGACTTTCTTGCAGTAAAAGCAAAATGATCTGATTTTTTTCTGAGCTCCTCTCTGCCATTGAGTCTGCCTTATTTAAAAACTGCAGCATGCTCATGAAAGGCAGTTGGTGTGGAAATGCTAATGCAACAAGGGCCCTGGAGCTTTTTGCTGGCCAAATAGCTGGCTGCAAATAACACGCTGGATGAGGTGACTATGTTGGGGGAATGAAGGATGTCAGACTCAGGGGAGGTCAAGGTTGCGTCAGAATGTGGAGAGCAGATGTGTTACAGCTCTCCGTCATCTGCCTGTGCAGCATTTGTGTGTTCAAGGATCTCTGATGTTGGCTAATAGTCACATGGCATGCAAGTAAACAAATAAAATGTTTCATGTTTTTTAGGAATTGTTTATTTTGATTGTTTTTGTTTTGAAAGAGTTTATTTCAGCTTTTCATCAACTCCAGTTTGGGAAAGCCTGGATAAATGGATGAATTGATGGTCGGTCTGTCTGTCTGTTTGTCTGTCTGTCTGTCTATCTATCTATCTATCTATCTATCTATCTATCTATCTATCTATCTATCTATCTAAATCTTAATCTAAATCTATCTATAAAAATGTTATGCATATGCACAGGATCTATAGAAAGATGAGGTATGAAGGATGATGGAAGGACAGATAGACGGATGAATGCAGAGAATGTTATAGTAATGAATGGAGTCATGGATGAATCGGAAAATAGACATCAGCTTGAACGAACAAATGGATGTATGCATGAAAGTAATGAGGCCATGCATGATTGAAAATTAGCACTCAGGTCAGTTTGTTGAAACATAATGGAGACCGTCTGTCTGACTCATCCCATTGTAGGCTAGGTTGCGCATTTTAATAGAGTCATGCCATTGTCCTGTTGATTAAGTGCCGTCGTTTTCCGTGCCAATGGAGCTCAGGCTTGATTTAGTGAATCTTTCATCACTGTTGAAGCTCCAACAAGTTGGTGAAGTGGTGGAGAGATGTATAGCAGGAGTATGGTAATGCCCCGCTGCTTTATGGGATGTCCCGTCACTGAATGATCACCCTGCTCTCGTTATCTGTCGACTGGGGTAATTGGTGTTTGTCAGGGCCCCAGCTGAATACTGCTCTTGCAATCTAGAGCGGCCTTCATCACAATGACCGATCTGTCTTCACACATCTTGTATGTGTTCTGCAGAGTTTTATTGTACCTTTCATTAGTGGCGTAACAGAACAGTTTTGTCTTTTTTTTCCTAACTCCAACATCTCTGAGGTATTTTAGTCGCACAGAAATTTTGGTGCAATTTAGAGTGGAAAGAGAGAGTGCAAGAAAAGCCATCAATGTAAACAAATGCAGGTCCGAAATATTCATCATCTGACTCAAGAGGATAATTTACTTCAAGCCTGTCATCCCTCCCCTCTTCTTGACTCTCTAACTGCTTTGGTGTGAGAGTCCCTGGGGCCCCTTAGGGCCCCACAGATGTGTGAGGCCATCCAAAGGTCCACTGTAGTCGAGGCACTGTCAACTCATCCGGGCAGGCGCTTTGATTCAACACTGCTCTAACTGTTAATAAATTCCTGTCACAGTCCATTAAAAAGGCCTTGGAGAGATGGCTGCTCTCATTTATTCTCCACCACTCTTCTCTTTTTTCTCCCTCACTTTTGCACTCTTTCTTCCTCACTTGTCCCCCTTTTCAATGTTTTTTTTAATACCCTCTTAATTACCCCGTCTGTCATCTTTATTCAAATGAGAAAGTGAGAAATGTGAGAGGAGAATGTTTGTAATTTCAAATAGGCCTCTCAGAAGGCAGATACCGTGAGTATAATCAACAACGGCAGAGGCTGCGGCACGGGCGTTTACTGTTATCTCTGGAGCAGGGCTGGGGCTGAGGGGCTGTGGTGGAGCTGTGCTCTGATAAACAAACACGTCGGAACCATAATGAGGCGGTTCAGAGAAGACAGTCCTCCCCATACACACACACACACATGCTCGCAGGAGGCACTCAATTCTCCACATGATTAGTCAGTTCATATGTCATCCATTAGAACAGGTTTACCGGCTAGAGGCCCTTTAATTGGTGCACATGGGGTCAGGGAGGAAGGCACAGCATGCTTGGGGCATGGAAAAAAGGGACACGCCGAAAATAGAAAACAGTTTGCAGTGCTTCTTTGCGCTTCAGGTTGAGCAATTGCTGTTTGTTTTCCTATTATTACTTTGTACTAGTATACGAATAATTAGTTGTTTTTCCCCATGCAATGGTTGTTAATGTAACATTTAAACAGCAAATTAAAGCCGCTCGAGGTCTGGAAGGTCTAACAGTCTAATGTTGGTTTAAACCCAAACAACAGAAAAAGGAAAAGAGGATTATGGAGCTTCTTAAAGAGACAGTTCACTCAAAAAGGAACATTTTGACATCCTTAACTCACCCTCATTTTGTCTTCAAGATGTCTTCTGAAGCCATACGATAGCTTTGTGTGAAAACCATGCCCATATTTATTTAGAAATTTGGAGCTCATTCTCAGTTACTAAAATTTCTTTGCATTGATCGGATTATACAGATTAACCCTCCATAAATCAGTGCTCAAATATGAACTGACACGGCTCTGATTTGTCTTGTATTTGTACTTTTCTTGGCCTACTACCCATGAGGGAGTGTGATTCAGTTTCAAAACGAACCCTTTTTGTCTCCTCAGCCAAATCCAGAGTTTTCCCTTTTCTCCCATAAGAGCAGAGAGGCTAAAATTACATCTTTCTCACTTTAGGCTTTAAAATGGAATTACTGCTACACTTTCCCTGAAAGATCTCTATTGCTCATTTCTCCTTTATGCTGCCTGGGAAGCGCTCATTGGAGCCAGATGCAGTAAGCCCCTGACAGTCTGAGAAGAGATGAAAGATCCTGCTGTAAGAAAGGGATGCAGGGATTGGGAATCACACAATCTTTTCTTTAAAGAAAGCTTTCTCTTGTTTTAACAATGCCTTTAGGACCATAGTGTGTTTTTGCATAAAGAAAATGAAGCATATTTTTAGGAGCATTAACAATTTTCTGCATTGTAGCACTAGTCGCAATCTCCCAAATGCAGAAAAATCTCATTCTCATTACTTTAATACAGTAATAAAAACGATCCTCTCTGGACTCTGGAAAGGTGATATGCTCACCAATATTCAAATAATGTAGTAGTAAATATAGGTTTTCTTTATGCAAAAAAAAAACAAAAACATAAACAACATGTCTTGTTTTCAAGATGCATTGTGCATATTTTTATAATCTCTGTGAAGGGACATGCCTTATTTAAGTCTGAAATTCAGTACTGCCTTATTTAAGGATTACAAACTGATAACATGAAAACACTTCAGCTTGCATTAACGTTTGACATGCTGTGGTTTCTCTAATACATTCCATTGCATCAATCATTCCCCAAGTGGGTGCCATCTTTCTTTCATCCCTCTCGTCCTTCACCTCTGATCTATGGAGATCTCCTCCCTCCCCCGGCATCTCGGTCTCATCACATTTGGGTTGGGGCTTTAGTTCCTCTCTGTTTCGTTTCTCCATCAATCCTTTTACTCCCACTTGTCCCAGTCGCAGCGCTCACACACAGCACAGTTTAGCTCAAAACCGAAACGTTCCTTTGCCGATCTGATGAACTTTTCAACCTGAACATTGTGTGTTTAATTGAGTTTAGGTTCTTGTTTATGAATTGCTCTAGTGGCACAAAAATAATGAGACATCTGAGAGAGGAACGGAGATCATTTGCAAATCATTTGCAACTAGATCGGTTTATGTTAATACAGTAGACAGCCTACGTACATATCTGTGTTTATAGTCGCAGATGGAGTGGGCAGGGAATGGTCATGAAGGGTTGATACAAGCACTGTAAACGAAGTAACAATAAACCGCAAAATCAATATTGCAGGCTGACAGCGGTCTGGTGTTGCAAGATTGAAAAATGTTGGGGAGCAGAGCAGTGATCAATGGAGACAGCCTTCAATACTTTGACATTTCACACACAGTCTCTCTTTACTGCTGCTTATTCTCCTAAGTGGATGTAGGAAAAGAGGTTTACAGTACATGTTGGTGCACGGTAAAGTAAGTACCATTATTCATATTTATATATGATTTTTCTTATATATAAATATAAATATATATTACATATATTTCTTAAATGCATACATATA